AAACAATTAACTATATGACAGGCATAATGCCTCATATGTCAATATTAACCTTGAATGTAAAAAAACAATTCTAAAGTTCACATAGAACAAAAAAAGAGGTTGAATAGCCAACGCGATCTTCAGCAAAAAGAATGAAGCTGGAGGCATCACATCGCCTGACTTCAAATTATACTACAAGGCTATAGTAACCAAATCAGCATAGTTTTTGTATAAAAATAGACACAGGGAACCCAGAAATAAAAACACATACTTATAGCTGACTGATCTTTGACAAAGTTGACACTGAGGAAAGGACATCCTTTTCAATAAATGGTGCTGGGAAAATCAGACTGCCATATGCAGAAGAATGAAACTGGACCCCTATCTTTCATCATATGCAAAAATCAACTCAAGATGGATTAAACATATGAATGTAAAACCTGGAACTATAAAAACACTAGAAGAAAACCTAAGGAAAACCCTTCTGGACATTGATCTAGGCAAAGAATTCATGACTAAGACCTCAAAAGCACAGGCAACAAAAACAAAAATAAACAAATAGGACTTAATTAAACTACAAAATTTCTGCACAGCAAAAGAAATAATCAACAGAGTGAACAGACAACCTGTGGAATGGAAGAAAATATTTACAAACTATACATCTGACAGAGGACTAATATTCAGAGTTTACGAGGAACTCAAACAACTCAGCAGCAACAAACAGTTAACCCCATTAAAGAGTGGGCTTAGGAAATGAATATACATTTTTCAAAAGAAGACAAACAAATGGCCAACCAGCATATGAAAAACTGTTTAACATCACTAATCATCAGAGAAATGCACATTAAATCCACAATGAGATATCATCTTATACTAATCAGAATGGCTATGTTTAATAAGACAAAAAATAAGAGATGTTGGTGAGGATATAGAGAAAAGAGAACTCTTATTATACACTGTTGGTGGGAATGTAATTTAGTGCAACCTCTATAGAAAATAGTATGATGATTTCTCACAGAATAAAAATAGAACTACCACATGATTCAGCAATCCCCACTCCTGGGTATCCACCCAAAGGAAAAGAAATCAACATATAAAAAATATACCTGCACTTGTATGTTTATTGTGGCACTATTCACAATAGCAAAGATATGGAATCAGCCTATGTGTCCATCAACAGAGTATTCAATAAGGCAAATGTGGTATATATGCACAATGGAATACTATTCAGCTATAAAAAAGAATGAAATTCAGTACCCTGAAATAAAAAAAAAAAAAAGAAGGGGGGGGTAAACTCACAACAAAAGGACAAAAAAAAATAAAATAAAATAAAAAAGAATGAAATCATGTCTTTTGCTGCAACATGGTTAAAACTGGAGACTATTATTTTAAGGGAAACAACTCAGACACAGACAGATATTTCATGTTCTCACTTATAAGTGGAAGCTAAATAATGTGTATGCATGGAAGCAGAGTGTGGAATGATGGACAATGGAAACTCTGAGAGGTAGGGATGAGTGGGGGGTGGATGATGGTAGGTTGCTTGGTGGATACACATGCATTACTTTAGTGATGTATGCACCAAAGAGCCTTACTTCACCACAATGCAATATATCGATGTAGCAAAACTGCACTTATACTCTATGAATATATGCAATAAAAAAATGGGAAAAAAATAAAAATAAAACAATTAAAAATGCAGTGATTCACTGAAGAGATGTTGGAGTCTGTGCTCTATCCTACTTATCATCTTTGGGGCATTCTTCCAGAGGGCTATGCTCAGAATGCAGGGGCTTTGTGAAATTCTGCTGGCAAGGAATTTTGTAAAATTCTGTTGGCAAGCAGAATGAACAAACATGGCTTCTTACGTTTCCTACTTTGTCTCACGCCAGTCACAAAGACAAATACTGTATGATTCCACTCATATTAGGTACCTAGAAGAGTCAAACTCATAGAGACAGCAAGTAGAATGGTGGGTACATGGGGCTGGAGGAAGGGGAATGGGGGAGTTAATGTTTAATGGAGACAGAGCATCAGTTTGGAAAGATGGAAAAGTTCTGGAAATGCATAGTAGTGATGGGTGCACAACATTGTGAATGTGCTTAATGTCACTGATTGTACATTTAAACAATTAAAATGTCAAGAAAATTGCACTTAAAGTATCCGCTTAAATTATAGCATATCATTCTATTCTAATAAACAGGGGAGGCCAAGGTTAGGCAATTTTACATTTATGCTTATAGGAGCTTCAGATAAGAAACTGAAAAAATAAAGAAAAACACATCACTCAAGCAACTGTTAAAGCATAGAATGAAGAATAAGCCAAACAAATCACACAAATATACTTAAAATTTAATTATCCAAAGACAATTTTCCACACTAAAGTAAATGTGATTTTGATTATTGGCAAAAGCATGCCAGCAAACAACTAAAAGACTGGCATCTAAAAAACACCTGAGGCCCGGGACATAAAAACATAAAAATCTAACTTTATTTTTCATAAAAGTCAAAACTGTTAATTTGGCACTGACAGAAGGACAGAAATAGAGACTAATGGAATAGAACTGAGAAAGCAGAAATAAACCCTCAGATTTATAGGTGAATTAGCCTGGGCTGCCATAACAAAACACCATAGACTGGGTGGCTTAAATAACAGAAATTTATTTCTCACAGTTTTGGGAAGCCAGAAGTCCAAGATTAGGATGCCAGCATGGTTGGGTTCTGGTAAGGGCCCTCTTCCTGGCTTCCAGATGTTACCATCTCACTGTGTTCTCGCATGGCAGGGAGAGAGAGAAAGCGCATGGACAAGCTCTCCGGTGCCTCTTCTTATAAAGGCGCTAATCCTTTTGAGGACTCCACCCTCATGAATTCATCTTAACCTAACGACCTCCCAAAGGCCCCATCCCCAACCACCATCACACTGTGAGTTAGGGCTTCAACCTATAAATTTTGGATAGAGACAATCCAGTTCACAGCAATAAGCAACTGATTTTCGGCAAGGGTGTCCAGATAATCCAATGAGAAAAGAATAGTCTTCAAAAAATGGTGCTGGGACAACTATATATTCACACACAAAAGAATGAAGTTGGATTCCTTCCCTAACCATACATAACAATTAACTCAAAATAGATCACAGACCTAAGTGTAAGAGCTAAAAATATAAAACTATAAAATTCTTAGAAGAAAATATGTAAGTCAATTTTCATGACCCTGGATTAGGCAATGGTTTCTTATGTTTTTAAGTAACAAAAGAAAAACTAGATAAACCAGACTACATAAAAATTTAAAACTTTTGTGTCACAAATGATATCATCAAGAAAGTGAAAAGACAACCCACTGGAGAAAATTTTTGCAAATCATATGTCTAATAAAAGTCTAGTATTCCAGAATATATAAAGAACCCTTATAATTCAATAATATAAAGACAACCCAATTTAAAAATTGGCAAAGGATATAAATAGATAGTTCTTCAAAGAAGATATAAAAATGGCAAATAAGCACATGACAATTTGCTCAACATCATTAGCCATCAGGAAAAAACAAATGAGAACCACAATGAGATACCAGTTCACATCCACTAGGATGGATATAATAAAAAAGACAAGAGATAATAACAATTGTTGCTGGGGACGTGGAGAAACTGAAACCCTCGTACATTGCTAGTGAGACTATAAAATGTTACAGCCATTTTGGAAAAGAGTCTGGCAGTTCCTCAAACAGTTAAGCAGAGTTATCATATGACCCAGCAATTTTGCTCCTAGGTATGTACCTAAGAGAAATAAAAACATAGGTACACAAATGTTCATAGCAGCATTATTCCTAATAGCCAAAAAGTAGAAATAACTTAAATGGCCATCAACTGATGAATGGATAAACAAAATGTTGTATTCACATAAATGGAATATTATTTGACAATCAAAAGAATGAAGTACAGAACAGGGATGAATTTAAACTAGTTTGTCTCATGAATTAGCTAGTGACAATTCTTTAAATTCACCAAACACGTTAGTCCCCCAAATTACTAAAAAATTCAATTGATGTTCTATTTTCAAAAACTTTTCTGGTTCTACTTGGAGGTTAAAGGAAAAAAAAAAAAATTGACCACACAGAAGTTGCTGTGGTCTGAATGTTTGTATCCCCCCAAAATTCACATGTTACAACTCAGTCCCCTAAGCAGTGGTATTAAGAGGTGGGGCATTTGGGAGATGAAGGCTTCATCTTCATTAATGGGATTAGTGCCCTCATAAAAGAGAGCCAAGGGAGCTTGTTTGCTCCATCTACCATGTAAGGACACATAGAAGGTGCCATCAATGAAGAACTAGCCCTAATCAGACATTAAACCTGCTGGCGCCTTGATCTTGGACTGTCCAGCCTCCACAACTAGAAGCATTAAATTTCTGTTGGTTATAAATTACCTAGTCTAAAGTATTTTGTTTTAGCAGCCCTAATGCACTAAGACATAAACCATGAAAATAAAAAGTTATGATCTCATATTTTTATAAATATACATAATTTACTTAAAGTTTCACAGTTTCACGTACCAATAATACAGAAGTCAGTATGCAACATTGGTTCTCAACAGGGGGCAATTTGGCCCCCCAAACGACATCTGGCAATGTCTGGAGACATTTTGGTGCTCACGACTAAATATCCTGAAATACACAGTACTGCCCCCACAACAAAGAATTATATGGCCCAAAATGTCAACAGTGCCACTATTGAGAAACCCTGGCATAGAATAATTCATTCAAATTAGCAAAGAGCACACCATTCATTTCTCTTCTTTCAGAATCAGTCTTAAATTAGAACTTAACCTCTACTAATACTAAGCCTTTAATATTAATAGTTAGCCTCTACTAATACTATTATAATTACTAAATGCGTGGATTTTTCTTATCGAATTATAAAACAGATTATGAAAATATATGAAATAAAAACATATATGCACATATATATTTAAAATAAATAAATAAATATTAGACTTAAATATAAGAGGAAAAAAAGATAAAGGAAGCACTTACTGTAAAAATGTCCTAAATTCTGAAACTTCAACATTCTCCACAGTAACGGGCTCATGATTTGTTAAATTATTTGATGTCTGTCCAATAGTATGAAAATAGAAGTCAGGAACCCTTGCTAAAAGAACTGCTTTGTGTGCTTTGAACAAAGTACAACCTACAGAGAAAGTAACATCTGAATGGAGTTCTTCCCTTAGAAGCCTGTAAGGAATAAAAATGAATCATAGTTTAATTAGTGACACTAAGAAATATATACTTATTTTTATAAAATAGGTTTGAAAATAACATATAAGCTACAAAATAGAGGCAACATAAAATAAGTTAATAGAAAAACGAGTTTTCTCTCAGTTCATTCCAAAGAATATTGTTTCATATTGGCTTAGAATGTAATTTTCTAAAATTTACAGTGAAAACAAAGGTAATTTCACTAAAAAAGTAAGAACACTTTTTCAAAATATATCTTTTCTTATGAATTCCTTCTAATAAAATTTATTTTCTGCTAATGTTGATTTTCCTTTAAAATGTATCTTCTTTAGATTTATTTTGAAACACAGAACACAAAATTAACATGGCTATTAACTACTGAAAAGATTTTTTTAACAAATCTTACTAAAATTGGAGCAAAAAAAGGTAAACAGTCAACAACACCAACAAACCAAACATCACAGTAGATAATTCAGACTAGAAATTGGTACGCTTTGTTCTGACTAATGTTAATTACCAAGTCTGATATACAGACTTGGGTGTCAAAAATGGGACATTTAAACCCTTTTCCATTTTCCCCTCCCACAAATAGAATTAATCATGCTATAATATATTAATAAAATGATGGAGTCATGAGGTAAATCCATTTAAATCCCTTTACTAATGTATAGATATAGCTAGGGTAAAACCCCTGATTACATGTATACTTAAAATGATGAAAGAATAGAAATCAACATTGTAATAGAAACTGTCATAATATAATCTTTTGTCTCTGCAGTAACCATATATTTTACTCTCTAAATATTAAATAGTACTTCACATCACTATAGCAATAACATCAGCAAGGTATGTATTCTCAGAGGACTTCTGTATTGCAGGATATAACTGGCAATCACACCAGTACACTATAGGAGGTACAAGTAATGGATAAAGATATCCATTACAGTGAAAGCTTGGGAAGTTGCCAATGACACTCACACTCCCCCAAGACCAAGGTAATGGCTCCTTCCTCCAATCCCATCACACTCAGTACATACCTCTATTACAGCACTTCTGTCATTGCATCATTATTATTTTTACGTGTCTTTCTCCCTACTAAACAATGAACTCTCCAAAGGCAAAAAGTGTGTATCTTTAGTATACAGCAAGAGTTCAGTATCTGCTTGTTGAATGATCCTATTTTACCCTAAACAAAACAAATGCTTCAGAGCACAAAAGCTTGCAGAATCTTGAAAACAATGAGCAAACAGATGTATCTTAGTTTGATCAATATTTTCATCAATAAATTATTTTCATGTAATTTTAAAGTTACACAAAAATGTGTTGCTCTCAAACTTTAATTAAAAATGGTTGTTCAAAAACTCAATTTGTGGCTGGGTGCGGTGGCTCACGCCTGTAATCCTAGCTCTCTGGGAGGCTGAGGTGGGCGGATTGTTTGAGCTCAGGAGTTCGAAACCAGCCTGAGCAACAGCGAGACCCCGTCTCTACTAAAAATAGAAAGAAATTAATTGAACAACTAAAAATATATAGAAAAAATTAGCCAGGCATGGTGGCGCATGCCTGTAGTCCCAGCTGCTCGGGAGGCTGAGGCAGGAGGAGCGCTTGAGCCCAGGAGTTGGAGGTTGCTGTGAGCTAGGCTGACGCCACGGCACTCTAGCCGGGGCAACACAGTGAGACTCTGTCTCAAAAAAAAAAAAAACTCAATTTGTTCCTCCCTCCCACCTACCTTCCCCCTATCCTCTACTCCTCCCCAAGTGAATAAAGGAAGCACTGGAGCTGGTTAGCCAGACAACCAATGGGAGGGATTCCGCTTTGTTCCTAATAGTTCCTCCTGAGTGCTTGTTAAACAAAAACACAGCTAATGTGCATAAAAATTGTTAGTGTGAAAAATACTGCTTTTTATTTTATAAAACCACTTGTATCAGTTTCAAGTGTATCTTGTATCTGTTACAAGTAACAGAAATTCTGACTTAGACTGGCTTAAATATTAAGGAGTGTTTATTTGCTCCTCTTATAGTAAAAGTCCAGAGCAAGGACAGATTGAAGCAAAGGCTCAATGATGTCAAAGCCCAGCTTCTCTCCATCTCATTTCTTTGTCAACTACTGCATTAAGCTGCCTTAGTTCATTCTGTGCTGCTGTAACAGAATACCACAGATTAGGTAATTTATAATAAACAGAAATTTCTTGGCTCACAGTCTGGAGTCCAATATCAAGGTGCTGGCATTTGGTGAGGGCCTTCATGTTATGTCATCACATGGTAGAAGGGAAGAGGGTGAGAGAGAGCAAGACAGGACTCAACCTGCCTTTTATAACAGCGCCAATCCCACCCATGAGGGTACAGCCCTCCTGGCCTAATCACCTCTTAAGGATCCTACCCCTTAATACTGTTACAATGGCAATTCTATTTCAACATGAGTTTTGGAGGGAACAAACATTCAAAGCATAGCATAATTTATCTAAAGCATTTTACACTGTTGACAAAAACCCAATTCTCGCTAAACATTTATTGAGCACATACTATGCACCAAGCACTGGGAACTAAGGATGACTAAAACATAATACTGGGCCTCAGAGAATTTATAGCATAGTAGGGAAACCAGGTCTGAACATCAAAAGGTACATTAAAGAGATATATTCAATAGCACAGATGAGTGAATTTTGTTCAGGGACAGACAGAAGAGAAGACCTGATAGAGGACATGAAAACCAAAAAGGATTTCACAGACTGAATAAGAGGTGGTTAGTGAAGCAAGGCAGGGTGGGAGAGAATGCTTGACTCCGTGTTCTTTACAGAGGTATGTGTGAGTACAGTACTACAAATTGGTCAGTACAGCATACTCCGGGGTGAGAAGTGGCAGATGAAGCTGCAGGGATAAACACGAATAAGAGGCAAAGAGCTTAACTATATTCTATGGTTGAAGGAGAGTCGCAAAATGGTTTGAAACATGGGCAAATTTATTTTTCAAAATAAATGTGTGTAGAGGAGTTAGAGGAAAATGAGAAGGAAGATGAGAAAACTACTGCACAGCACAGATGAATGACAAAAACGGCTTGAGTACGGAGAGGATCAATAGTAAAGAAAAGAGGGGATGGAATTAAAATATATTTAGGTAACAAAATTGGCAGCAGTTAGTGAGTGGATGTAGAAGGTGAGAGGAAGGGAATAACTTAGGATCTCTCTCATATTTGGTTTGGATAACTGGGTGCCAGTGACGCCACCAATCTTTATTGTGTATCTACTCATCCTACTTCCCTCCTCAACTTCAGACACATTTCCAATTATCTCCTGGATATAGCTTCCTGCACATTCATTATACACCTTCCTTCCAAATGTCCTAAGTTTGAAGCCACCTTCCATTCTTCCCTTTTTCTGTTCCCTACATGTAATCAGTCCCCAAGTCTATCAGTTGTTCTATTTCCACTGCCATTATGTATCCCCGGACTATTACAAAATCTCCTAACTGCTCTCCTTGTTTCTAAGTTCTCTTTCCTCAAATTCAAGATCCAAATGTGTTAATATCGTATTTTAAAAACACCAATGGCCCTCCACTGACTCTAGAATACATTATAAACATTTCACTGGAGAAAGAAGACCTCTGTGACCTAGTCTTAGTCTACCCATTCACCCTCATCTGCTGTTACTTTGATTCCCTGCCATATCCACAATATCCTTCCAAGTAAAGCAACCAAATTCATTTATAATTTACATACGGCCCTGGTTTGTACCACATGCCCCTGCACCCTAATCACATCTGAATGCACAATGGACTGAACCAAGGTCAGCCACTGGCCAATGTGACAGTTAAGCAAGAGCACTCAAGCAGAGATGTTCTGTAATAAACAGGGACCAACTGATGGCACTCTTGGAAGCATTCTAAAGCAAATCCAAGATAGAGTTAAAAAAAAAAAAAAGAAAAAGAAATTGGTGAGGCGAGAAGCATAGATGAAGATACAAAGTTACTGAACGATCAGTTTGCATAGCTACTGCAGAGCAGGCAGACTGCTTGGGTTCACATTCTTGTTATGTGACCTTGGAAAAGTCACTTTAACGTCCCTGGAGCCAGATTGCCAGCGTTCTTATTCTGATTCTATCACTTCCTTTTTTAATGCTCAGTTTTCTCATCTATTAAATAGGAATAACAAAGCTTGTTATTCCTTCCTACAGGATTCATAAGTAAATAAAACATTTCATCTAAGCCCAGGGTATAGCAAACAGCAGGATGCCAATAAACTTTTTTTACAGTTGCCCTGAATAATGATCCATTTGTCAATGTGGTTTTACCATATAATTGGTGCCATAACCCAAACAACTTTCCATTTCTACATCAGATCTTTTTGACTGCTGAAACTATTTTCCTGTTTCCTGTTTTTCCTCACTTTTCCACATATCTCATCACTTCAGCTAACCTGGGAGTGTCTCTGTTCCTTACTATCTGGAAGAATCTAATACAACTTGCTTTTCCAAAATAAATCAAGTGCTTTCAAATCTCTGTGCCTTTGTAAAAACCATCCTCCTTGCTTAGATACCCTCCACCCCTCCCTTCCCAGTCATCACCAGATCAATTCTTAATCAGTCCCCAAGAACACACTCAAATGTCACCCTATAAAGCCTTCCCAATTCACCCCACCACCACATTACTTTTGTTTTGGCCATTATTTCTCTCACTAGAGTGTTAAGCACAAATACCCAAACAACTTTAGTTATATTTTCCATTTTTACTTCAGTCCCTCACTGGTAGAGACAAGCAGCACCAACAATAGATAATTCCAAATTAAAGGGAAATTTTTTTACATTGATAAAATTCTGTTTATAGCTACTGGAGCCTTAAGTGTGGGTGAGTGTCTGACAGAAAGCATTTTAAACGTAGAATGCTGGGTAATTATTATTAGTAATCAGGGTTACTCTACTTTAGCATTCTCAAAGTGTCACCCAGGCCAGCAGCAGCAGCATCACCCGGGACCTTGTTAGAAATGGAAAATCTCAGGCCACATCCCAGATCAATTGAATCAGAGAACTATGGGCTGAGACTCAGTAAACCGTGTTTTAACAAGCCCTCAGGGTGACTCTGATGCACACTAAAGTTTAAGAATCAATGTTTTGCTGGAAATTGAAATTAGCTAGGTAATATTTCTAAGTTTCATTTTCTTTGTAAACTGAAATGACTTTAGCTGGATTCCCAATGACCTGATATGGATATCCATCAGGCTTACAAAGGTTAAGCTTCAGGACGACCCTCCATTTGCTTGGGTCCTCACAGGAGCTGGAAGTTGCTGGGAGCTGCTGGGAGCTACAGAGTGTTCTAGGTGGAGAGAGGAAGCCAGGTTGCAATCGGAAAGTATATCTATATAAGCATTTCTGGTAAATTTTTTAAAGAGAGCTCAGAAGAAAGAAACCTCTAAGGCTCCAGTAATTTGTTCTTTCATCATTTCAGATAAGTATTCGCTTTGCTAATTTTATTATTATTTTTAATTGTATAAGCTTATTTAAAAAATTGTGTATGTTTCAGGACCTGGATCCACCCTGACCTCAGCGATTTGTCTTTCAAGCAACTAAGCCTGTTCGTGTTAAAATATCTTAGCATAAACTGGCGCTGCACAAAACTACGCTCTTATCTTTTGTTTTCCTTTTGAATCTGGTACGTGATGTCCGAAGTGCTCGGGATTGGTTATTAGGGCGAGAAAAGCCGCATTCGGAGTAGTGGGGACACTGGCAAACGTCCCGCAGTGGCCTGAGGCGGGGAGAACTAGGTCGCGAAGGATGGGGAACGCAGCAGGAGGAAGCCACCGCTTCGGGGGCGGAGGTGGGCGATTTAGGAACTGAAGCAGCCAGAGTTCCCGCCTCCTCCTACCTGAGCAGATCCTGGCTGAGCTGCTCCGACACCAACGCCTTCAGCCGGCGCCGCTCACAGGACCCCTTCCTTTGCAACCCTCTCCTGCAAACTCCCGGGGACCCCTGAAGTACCACGGGGGCCGCGCTCGCGTCCCCACAGCGGGCCATGTCCCACAAAGCTACGGCGCCGCCCCACAGGCCCAGAACTCAGCCTCACTTGCCCCACCCAGGAGGAAGATGGGGCGTTTCCGACCGAACACTCCGCTTCTACCCGAATCCGCGCCCTAAGGGAAAAGGTTGAAGTCTCTCGTCAGTTTGTAGACGGTCCCTTAGAGCAGGCGGCCAGAGGCCGGGGGCAACCTCAGAGGCCCTGTACCCAGCCGGCACGTGACCCGGGAAGGGTGTGCGCAAGCGTACTAGCTCTGTTTACCTCGGCCTGCGGGCGCTCCGCCCCCTATTGCCCAGGGAGTGGACAGTCCTCTGGGGCAGACCAATTTTGGGGCTCCCTCCCCGCTCCTCTTCTTTGCCTTCTGGTTGGTGTTAACCGTTCTTTTAATAAACGTTTTTATGAGGCCCAAATTCAAATCAATACATGCAGCCTTTCTATGCTCTGTCTTCCCGGCATGTCTATGCCTTTTTTTCCCTACGAAAGATTGAGCGAGTCACACTTCCCTCACTTACTTGTTTCTCAACCCTGAGGGATAAATGTTTTGGGCGAGAAAAATTGGGGGTGGGGAGCGGTAGAGGAAGAACTCAGCCAGAGTCAGAACAATTGTGAGTCCACTACAAGGGGTAGTTGACCCCTATCCCCTTCTCATATAGGGAGTGGCTCGTATAACTGCTTTTCGACTTGAGCTGAGAAAGTTTAGATTTTATGATGGGGCTTTGCATATAAAGCTCTAAAAGTTTTGACCTGGTAGGTAGAAGGCAGTAAAGTGGGAGAGGCAGAGCCTTTGAGCAGGGAAGTGGGTGGATCGATGAACTATAAAATTTTGAGTATTTTGTCTGACCAGAAGAAAGTAGCAAAAGTCATCAAGTTTTTGGCTATTTTTTATTTGATTACTTCCACTAAGAGAAGAAAACTTGATAGTTCTGCTTCATTCACAAGCGCTGCACAAAGTAAAGAATATTAATTGCTTGGAAAAAATACATGGGCTTTGTAAGATTGGCCAAGAGGTAGCCATTTCTCCAAATAATGTCCCTTTTCAAATAATCTGGACACCTTAATTCTGAAGAATCAATAACTGGTTAATTAATTCTTAATTATTCCTGTAGAAAAGAGGGGTGTCAAAGGTAATATAATAATCACTAACATTTGAATGCTTATAGTGTGATGGACACGGCTCTACTTGCTCTACATGTATTAATTAATACTCACTACAACTGTTTAGGTAGGTACAGTCTTGAGCCCCAGTTTACAGATGAGGAAGCTGAAGCATATAAAGGTAGGTAATTTGGCCAAGGTTACTAAGCCAGCAAGTGGGGTGTTAAAATGCAAGCAGTTTCTTGAATAGGAGCAATTGAAGGAAAAAAAAAAAAAGTACAGGCAGTATATACCTTCTGAGTGGCAAATTAAGTCAACTTATGTACACTGTTGGTGGGAATATGAATTGGTGCAGCCACTATGGAAAACAGTGTGGAGGTTCCTCAAAAAATTAAAATGGCAGTAACCATGGGAGGGCAGATATCTTTTCCATATACTGATTTCCTATCTTTTGAATGTATAGCAGTGGAATTGCTGGGTCATATGGTAGTTCTATTTTTAGGAACCTTCATGCTGTTCTCCATAGTGGCTGTACTAATTTACATTCCCACCAACAGTGTACAAGGGTTCCCCTTTCTCCATACCCTTGACAGCACTTGTTATTGGATGTCTTTTTTTATAAAAGCCATTTTAACTGGGGTGAGATGATATCTCACTGTAGTTTTGATTTGCATTTCTCTGATGACTAATGATGTTGAGCATTTTTCATATATCTTTTGGCCATTTGTATATCTTCTTTTAAGAAATGTCTATTTGGGCCAGGCGTGGTGGCTCACACCTATAATCCTAGCACTCTGGGAGGCCAAGGCAGGAGGATCGCTTGAGCTCAGGAGTTTGAGACCAACCTGAGCAAGAGTAAGACCCTGTCTCTACTAAAAATAAAAAAATTAGATGGGTGCAGTGGCACATTTCTGTAGTCCTAGCTACTCGGGAGGCTGAGGCAGGAGGATCGCTTGAGCCCGGGTGTTTGAGGTTGCTGTGAGCTAG